AATTACCGCAGGAGCTGCGGGGCCACCTAGATACATGTTTGATGGAGGGCACCACTCTTGTAGTGACTGATGTAGATGTGAATGAATTAGAGTATGACAGCAGATTCTATTATATACTCAGAAGTCGCTACAGGTTCCTTACATCCAGTACTCCTTTTAAACTCATGGTAAGATCTCGAGGGTCCATGTGTTCAATACGAAAATCGGTCTAGTAGCCTATCTAAATTACTGTGTTTTGAGAGAAAGTCTCTTCAGCCTTACCTTGTGCGGGTCCTCTATCCTGGTCGAATTGGAATTCGGAGATGTTGTTCCTTGTGGATGGAGGAAAACCGGACAGCCTGGAGAAAAACCCTCGGAGCAAGGCGAGACCCAACAACAAACGGAACCCACATAAGGCATCGGGCTGGAATCGAACCTGGGCCACATTGGTAGGAGGCGAGGGCTGTCACCACCGACATTCTTGCTCTCCTCCAAGCATCGAAAACGCTTTTACGACAGAAGGTTTATGCGAGTGTCACAAAGTTTGTAGCATTGTTGTTCTATAAAACTTTATCAATGTTTCTTAGTTAATGATTTGTTCTATCACATTGTAATTTTTTTTCAGGTTGGTGAACATGAAATTGAGTGTCAACCTGGTTTTAGGTGAGTTGTATTTAAACATTTTGATACGTAATTTTTTTTTTCCCAACCACGTAGATTTGAACGTTATTTCTAAGCCCTTGATATAACATTTTCATTCGCCTTTATTGGGTTACAATGTTGGACCCGTTTCAAACGATGCGCGGACGTTCTCTGTGCCGATGGGAGGAAGTTCCACTTTGTTAGGCAAATGTTTGATCCCTCAAAAAATTGTGTCGAAAATGGTCCAACATTGGAAGCAACGTATACACAGCTGCTTAAGTTGTGTATATAACTGCGATGATCAGTTATGTCTTCATATCTTTCTCCGCAGTTCAAAGATATGATATTTCATATGTTCACTTGTATCTTCACCATCTGCGGGTATATAACGCCGGAACTCACAACGTGACCAGCTACCAGTTGGCTTGATAGCTCAGTTGGTAGAGCACTGCACCGGTATCGCAGAGGTCATGGGTTCGAATCCCGTTCAAGCTTGAATTTTTTTCGGGCGTTAATTTCACAGCTGCTTAAGCTGTGTATATAACTGCGATGATCAATCATGTCAGTGTTTGACCACATTTCCAAACACCTTAAAAATACTCCGCTACGCGTCGTAATTTCAACTCTCTTCTCGGTGCTCAGAAATGTGGTCAAACACGGTCTTTCATGTTTGATATATTACTTGCCTTTCGAGCAAAGGTTAGCTACAAGCGGCCCTTGACTCTACTTTGTGCTATAATAGGTTGGTGTTGGCCACAACATTCTCCAGTCGTGCTGTCCCATCGAGCATTGCGGCGTACGTTAATGTGGTCGAATTCAGTCAGTCACGTGATGGTCTTGAAGAAATGTTCCTTGATCGGTTCCTGAGACTTGAGAAACCCCGGATGCAGGACACCAGGACGCAGGTGGTAGATGTAAGTACAATTATGGTAATAATAAAATAGACGCAAACGACTGGTTGTATTTTTGATTCAAAAACTTTCACTTTAAATTATTTAGAGATGAAGTCACATGGGCCTTAGCTGGTGACCCATGCGGGTCCTCTATGTTGATCGAACTGGTATGTGGAGTGTTGGAATTTGTTTACGGTTTTTCCCCGGAGCAAGGCAAGAATCAACAGCAAACTCAACCCACATAAGTGCATAAGTGACATATGGCACTTGGCCGGAATCTAACCCTGCCATGGATTCCTGCTCCCAAGAAGTAGTTTTGAAATGATTCGTTAAAAATTCGTTTTTCATGCCTATTTTATTTCTTTGCCTTCACTAAAACGTTCGTAGCAACATTTGGCCTCAAAAGCTGATTCATAGCGAACTCGTGTTTGTGAAGTGTTCCCAGAATATCGCGGCATGAGAGCTGTGTATAACTAATGCATCTTCGCACTTGTTCAAGACATACAGTGCAGTAAACAATTAAAATAATCTTAATTTACTACTCATACAGTATTAACTATGTGGATTGCTACTGTTCTCTCTCTCTCTCTCTCTCTCTCTCTCTCTCTCTTTGTTTCTGCGTTAGGAAATGGTTACCCAGATGGAAGGCTTGCGTGAAGCGGAGGAGAACATCTTAGAGTGTTTAGGAAGTGGGCACCGTCTTCTGTACAACCTAGCAGCCACCAAGAAACTTGCCTCCATTCAGAAACAACACGAGGAGATTGTTGACGGGTTGGTGTTTAGGCTTGCAAACTAAAGAACTTCGTCTATGTCGTTATTCAGGCCAAAGTGAAGGAAAATTTCATACAAAACATTTGAAATCCAGACTAAACCAATTATTGTTGTAATTTGAAATAAAGCTAAACCAAGGCAGCTTAATATTTCTTACTTTTGAAACTCACTTGAAAACTGATCCACCAGGTGTAATGTTGTTGAAAATTAAGACTTCGTCCAGTTATGTGCTAGGAAATTTTTGCAAGGCCTTCTAACTTTTCTTGTTATGTGTTAATCCAGCCCATCTTTATAATTTTTTCCCTGCAGCCAAACGCGAGCTCGTGGTACTGAAAACTCGATTCTTCAGTCACGTGAGGGGTATCGTGCAATCGCACGCCGAGCTGCAGTCATGTTTGACGTGGCTAGGATCATGGCGGAGATAAACACTGCTTACCAGACCTCTCTCGCTCAGTTTCTGATTGTGTTTGACGCTGCTATAAAACACTCAGAAAGGTAAACGTGCTTCTGGTAAGGTACCAACTGATCAACCAGTTTTCATCGAACACGATTCGTTGAAGTGTTATCGAGATTGTAACATTCATTATTAGGTAGTTAATTTGAAAAAAAGGCAACTTTTTTTACGTTGAATCAATCCAATTCGTTCTAATAAGTACATTTGATTTAAAAAACTTGAGTTAAGCTAATGTAAACGCCTGATGGACAGCGGGACTTACATTCTCCTTGTCGNCAAAAACAAATTGGCTTTTAGAAAATTGATGCCTTTGTCTGGTATCCATTAATTTTTCTTGTTGCCTTCCCTTTAGGTACACTTCCGAAATGCCACTGGATCTGCCGTTTGCATATCGTCAGAGCGAGAGCCGAACACCCATTGTGTTGCTGTACACTCAAGAAGCTAATATGGTGGAAAAACTGGTCATTGAAGGAGCTCAAAAGAAACAGGTCTGCAAATTACTTTGAAAAACTTGCATGTTGCAACCATATCGGACGTGTTGTCTCTTGCAAATAGCAAAACCAAATTCTCGACTGGCTGTACATGTAAAGACAAATGTTTTTCTACATCTCTGCGACTCCGCGTTGCCATTAATTTTCACTAATTTCTTGTCAGGTCGAGTTGATGTTCTTGCTCTCTGCAACTATGAGGTTCTATTAATTTCATTAACTTCTTGTCAGGTTGAGTTGTACGTTCTTGCTCTCTGCAATTCTGTGATTCTATAAATTTTATTAACTTCTTGTCAGGTGGAGTTGCATGTCCTTGCTCTAGCAAATGTTGGCATTGGTGAAGAACGTGTAGCGAGAAAGATGATTCATAAGGCTATGGTACAGGTATGTTACTTGAGTATAACAACATAAATACAAAGCGTGTCTACCTGTTTGTGAACAAGCCGTTACTGGGATGGTTATGTCACGCTGGAGAGTGGTTACGTGACTTCACAGGTAACAGCTACGAGCACCAGGGTAACCTGTAATAAATTGCTCGTGTGGTTGTTGACTCTTTGATTTGCAAAGAAGTCTGGAAAGGAAAAAATGAGATGTCGATAATTGAACGAGGCAGCGAAGGAGGCAGGCAGCGTGGCCGAGTGGTTAGGACGCTGGACTTGAAATCCTGAGGTCACGGATTCAGTTCCGCTCCGACCACTAAGCTGGAGTTGTTTCTCGGTGGACCCTAGTTCAGCTCTTCGGTCATGCTCGTAGTCTACCTCCCGTTCAGTTTTATTGAGTGGACAATGTGATAGATTATTCTTCGTCTTCAGGGTCACTGGGTTCTTCTTCATAACGCCCACAACTCGCCTCGTCTATTGGCGGCATTGGATTCATTCATGCACGAGACAAAGACAGTAGACTCTGAGTTTAGATTGTGGGTGTCTGTCCAGCCACACCCAGACATTCCCTCATCTCTTCTGCAGTGTGCTATTAAAGTTGTAGCTGATTCGCCAAAGGTAAGATCTAGATGCTGAACTATAAAGAACGTCCTTTAATGAGGTAGTCCAGTAGACAAGTAGGGGTTGTGTTATTCAATAATTCACGTGTTAAAGCATTTGTTTGAAACAGAGCGGTTTTCCTTTGAGTTTCGTAAAATCAAAACCAAACCAGTCAATTAGACTACTCAACCAATCTCAAACCGTAGTAAAACTAAAACCAAACTAATTGCCTGATTACTTTCGTCACTCAATTGAAACCACTCTATCACTCCGGCCAATCACAAAGGACGCAGACATTCCAGTGAACCAATCAGGGCTCGAAGTAATGACACGTGGCTGACGCAAAACACGGGAGAACGTGTGCGAACCAGTTACGATTGGTTTTGGTTTTACTTCTGATTGGATGAAAAAGTGACGGGCATTTTATACGCCAATCGTGTAGCGTAGTTGACGCAAAACCATTTCGAAACTCATGTGAAAGCCGCTCTAAGGCAAAGCTACTTCTTGTGCAAAGCTACAAAGCCTATTTCTTGTGCATTCAACGTTCCTACACTTCATGGGAAGCCCTTCTTTTGCACTCAGATGTTTTAATTGTGGAATTTATTTCCTTGGTTAAAGTCGCAAACCAATACCGCTCAGGTTTAGTATCAAACACAGGATAGAACGTTGGTCACACACCTTTTAAGTGCGCGATTGCTTATCGCTGACTGCTATATTTTCCGTTGGCAGAACACTAAAGACAGCTTGCAGCGTTCTCTACAGTGGGTTGACGGTGACCTGATACGAGTCAGCATTCGCCAGGAGTGGCCCGCTCTGCTTCACAACCTGTGCATGTTACACAGTTTAATCAGGTTACGTACCAGGTATGGTCTGACAGGCTGGAACAAGCCTCTGGACCTCAGGAATTTTGGGACGGCGGAACTTTGGGTACGTGTGACCGCACTTACACCGTCATATTTAGACTGTTTACGTTCTGAGTTTCTATCGCTATAGTTTGACGCGTTTGATGTATCTATTGCAGCAAGCGTTAGACTTGGCTGTGCGCGAGTTTCAAGACAGCATAGACTTGACAGCTCAGAGTGGAGGCTCCTCAAGGAGTATCCAGTGGAATGGATTACGGTACATGTTAACAGAGGTAAGAATGTCAAACAATGTAAATTAGAAATTAATGATGAAAGCGAACGATGTTTCGGAGTCGTCATGACAGAATTAGAGTTTTGTTACCATCTCTCAATGTCCAATCAGACTCAATCCGAGCAAAACTATTTGCGTAACATTGCATATTAATTAATTATTTCATGTGTTAATCTTTAATCTTTTTTGTTTCCTATCTTTTTGAACTTGAAAATTCTTTCGCTTTTATCGATAATTTTTACTTGCTTTTGCATTACAAACCCTTTGCTTATATTGTGAATAAGACCAATTTTATTAGGGTTTTGAAAACAAGACAAATTGCTACTAAAACAAGTAAACTACCACGTGCGTTTTTTTTCTGTTTTGTTTTGTTTCGCTTTGCTATTTTTATTTGGAATAGTTAACTTGGTTACGCCTCTTTGACTATCGCTTTTTTAGTGAACCTAGTTGTTTAATAGATAATTAAAAACGCNTCAGCATTCGCCAGGAGTGGCCCGCTCTGCTTCACAACCTGTGCATGTTACACAGTTTAATCAGGTTACGCACCAGGTATGGTCTGACAGGCTGGAACAAGCCTCTGGACCTCAGGAATTTTGGAACGGCGGAACTTTGGGTACGTGTGACCGCACTGTACATCGTCATATTTAGACTGTTTACGTTCTGAGTTTCTATCGCTATAGTTTGACGCGTTTGATGTATTTATTGCAGCAAGCGTTAGATTTGGCTGTGCGCGAGTTTCAAGACAGCATAGACTTGGCAGCTCAGAGTGGAGGCTCCTCAAGGAGTATCCAGTGGAATGGATTACGGTATATGCTGGCAGAGGTAAGAATGTCAAACAGTGTAAATTAGAAATTAACGGTAAAAGCGAGCGATGTTTCGGAGTCGTCATGACAATTAGAGATTTGTTACCTTCTCTCAATGTCCAATCAGACTCAATCCGAGCAAAACTATTTGCATTACATTACAATGTGTTAATCTTTTTCTGACAGTTTATTTCCTATCGTTTTGAACTTGAAAATGGTGTCCGAAACGTCGTTCGCTTTTATCGATAATTTTTACTTGATTTTGCATTACAAAACCTTTGCTTATAGTGTGAATAAGACCAATTTTATCAGTGTTTTGAGAACAAGACATCTTGCTATTTAAACAAGTAAACTACCACGTACGTTTTTTTTGTTTTGTTTTGTTTCGCTTTGCTATTTTTATATGGATTAGTTAACTTGGCTACGCCTCTTTGACAATCGCTTATATAGAGAACCTAGTTGTTGAATAATAATAATAATAATAATAATCTTTATTGAGGAAACTTTTTCACGTACATGTGGTTTTCGGAAAGGACCTCAAAGATTAATACTAATTAATAGAACTAAAAATATGAAATTTATAAAACACTTAAGTTAAAAAAATTAAAAACCTGTCTCTTAAAAATATTTACATTAGCAGAGTCTCGTATTATCTGGCTGAGAGAATTAAAATCATTATAGATAAATAAAAACGTTTACAAATAAACGTCACCTCGTAAACTTACCAACTGGCATTAAACCTTGTAACGTAACGGAATCATGTGAAGAAAAGAGTTCCTGACCTCGCTCCTCGTGGGATTTCAATCCACAGCCTCCCAAAAAACCATAGCCGATAGCCGTCACGTTAAAACTTGTTTTTTTAATTTCTTATTTGAGGTTTTTATTGTTAGTGTTGTCGTTATTTTAGTGATGTTGAGTCAGCGGTTCTTTGTTGAAATACAGGTGGTATACGGCAGAAACATGAGTGACGAGTTTGACCGCCAGGGCCTGAGTGCCATGATAGATTACTGGATCAGTCCGGCAGCAGTCAAACGAGAATTCGAAGCTACAAAGAGTAAGTATTTAGCTTGGTTCTTATAGGAACTTGATCAGTCCTACCCGTTTTAAGCTGAAAAAGTCAAAAGGTCTGCATACTAGCCAAAAGGCCCATCAGGCTGGACCTTATCCCGGTTTCAGTAGCATACAGCGACTAGGAGTATTTCTACTCCCCCCCGGGAGAGAGGCACTGTGAAAGTAATTTAAAGTGCCTTGCCCAAGAACACAACGCAATGTGACCGGCCAGGCTCGAACCCGGAGCGCACTAACCATGAAGCAACCGCGCCTCCCTGAAACGAGCCTTATTACCGTTGGTTTCATGTCTTCTTTAACTCAAAGATAATTCACGCTGGTAACTTGGGCTTATCGTACAGTTTAATATACAAAGCCAATCATGACGTGCTTAAGTAACTAAAAAATGGTTTCCTTCACTTAGCACCAGTTACCTGTTTCCCTCACTTGGCACTTGTTGCACGTTTCAGACTTATAAATAATACTGAAAACGAGATCTCGTAAAATACCATTGATAGTTGATAGACGGAACTGGTTAGGAAACCCGGTCAGCAATAAAGAAACAAACAAACAGGCTAAGATTTATTTTGGAAGGTCCTTGACCCTACACATGTTTTGTTTTATGCTCATAGACTATGCCTGAATTACATAATCGCAAGGCTCCTATTGGTTAGCTATATGAGCACACATAACCACCTTTTGAATTTTGCCAGGATTTGTGCAGAGTCAACCCCTAAAATAGCCATCAAAAACACACAACAAAGAACGCTGCCAGGTCTCTTAACCATTCTATCTATTAAAGTGGTACTATGATCAAATTTTTCCCCCTTGATTTTTTTAGGTGTATCACATAGAATTCCATGAAAGAATAAAAACGCCGTTTACCGTTTGCAAATATCTGCATTAGTTCCGGNTAACGTAACGGAATCATGTGAAGAAAAGAGTTCCTGACCTCGCTCCTCGTGGGATTTCAACCCACGGCCTCCCAAGAAACCGTAGCCGGTAGCCGTCACGTTAAAACTTGGTTTTAGTTCTTATTTGAAGTTTTTATTGTTAGTATTGTCGTTATTTTACTGATATTGAGTCAGCGGTTCCTTTTAAAATATAGGTGGTATACGGCAGAAACATGAGTGACGAGTTTGACCGCCAGGGCCTGAGCGCTATGATCGATTACTGGATCAGTCCGGCAGCAGTCAAACGAGAATTCGAAGCTACAAAGAGTAAGCATTTAGCTTGGTTCTTATAGGAACTTGATCAGTCCTACCTGTTTTTTAGCTGAAAAAGTAAAAAGGTAAAGTCTGCATACGAGCCAAGTGGCCAATCAGGCTGGAGCTTATTCCGGTTTCAGTAGCACGAAGCGACGTTTCTACTCCCCCCTGGATGGGATGCTACTCCATCGCAGGGTTACCCCCAGAATTAAATTCACCAGTACTCATTTATACACCTGGGTGGAAAGAGGCACTGTGAGAGTAAAGTGTCTTTGCCAAGAGTACAACGCAATGTGACCGGCTAGGGCTCGAACCCGGAGCGCACTAACCATGAGGCCACCGCTCCTCCCTGAAACGAGCCATATTTCCGTTGGTTTCATGTCTTCTTTACCTCAAAGATAGTTCACGCTGGTAACTTGAGCTTATCATACAGTTTAATATACAAGGCCAATCATGATATGCTCGAGTGACTAAAAAATGGTTTCCTTCACTTAGCACCAGTTACATGTTTCCCTCACTTGGCACTTGTTGCACGTTTCAGACTTATAAATAATACTGAAAACGAGATCTTGTAAAATACCATTGATAGTTAATAGACGGAACTGGTTAGGAAACCCGGTCAACAATAAAGAAACAAACAAACAGGCTAAGATTTATGTTGGAAGGTCCTTGACCCTACACACGTTTTGTTTTATGCTCATAGATTATGCCTGGATTACATAATCGCAAGGCTCCTATTGGTTAGCTATATGAGCACACATAACCACCTTTTGAATTTTGCCAGGATTTGTGCAGAGTCAACCCCTAAAATAGCCATCAAAAACACACAACAAAGAACGCTGCCAGGTCTCTTAACCATTCTATCTATTAAAGTGGTACTATGATCAAATTTTTCCCCCTTGATTTTTTTAGGTGTATCACATAGAATTCCATGAAAGAATAAAAACGCCGTTTACCGTTTGCAAATATCTGCATTAGTTCCGGAGATATTTANTCAAAATGGAATGCCAAAGGTGGCCAGAAATGCCATTAATATTGGAGAGGTCTGGAACCCAGTATGTTGCCATGGTAACCAAACTGTTAAGCTCATATTGTGGACCACATTTAGTAGAATCTTACTGCAAAGAATCAAACATTTCTGGTACAAATTGGCTGAGATATCTTTTTTCATCATATTTGACCAAAATTTGGTTAAGTGTATGACGTCATCACTGGGCCAATTTGCATATTTTAAAAACTTGAATATCTCCGGAACGAAAAGAGATATTTGAATATAGTAAAGAGCATTTTTCTTCTAACACGGGCTACTTGTTTATGTTTTAAAATGAATGCGATAGGAAAGATGCGATTTTCGTCATAGTATCACTTTAACTATGAAAATACACAGTTAAAAGAAGTTCCTTGCAAGTCTTTTTCAGACTCTTCTTTTGTGGTTTAACGTGTGGTTTTGTCTTCCTTCACAGTTAAGTATAAATTGCCCTCAGCACTGTTCAGCAGTCACGTGAGGTTGAACAACCTTTGGTCAGCACTTGAAGGGTTTCCCGGTGAAGGGCTCGAAGTTCCAGAGGCTTGTGGGCTCCACCCCTCCCCTGAGGTGAGTTGATCGACGGCCTGTCATACATACAAGAGTTTAATTCCTTCTTTATGGTACAATTGAGCTCACGAAGAGTTATTGGCAACCCTTTGGATTAGCGTGGAGGAGGAGGCAGCGTGACCGAGCGGTCAGCGCGTGGAACTCGCAATCCAGCGGTCCCGGTGTTCTAGTTCCGCTCTGACCACTATCTGGATTTGTTTCACATTATCCTCGGGTTCAAATCCCCGGCCACGCTTGTAAATAGCCAACTGGTTTGCCTCCGGCTAGTTGGGATTCTTAACAATGTTCATGTTATGTTCGATTTGAATTATTTGTTTCAGTTGTTTACTCAGCCCCACTAGCGTTTTTGTTATAAACACTGACGAGGGTGAATAAAGGTTATTTATTTTCATTTATGTTTTTTATAAATTCCCGAGACAGGTTATCGAAGCCCTGGTGTATTCTTTTTTTTTTTTTTCGGCGTTATTTGGGAGCGAGTCTTAAATCGCATTTTGAGGTGCGCACTGACTAGTTCCTGTCATTAGAGGATTTGGAAGCCAAGAACATGAAGGTTTAACAATTTAGCAATACAACAAGCACCACGCTTTGAGCCTTCTTAACTGGTGTGATCGAAGAATAGGAAAATGAAAAAACGTGACGAAAATCCAGTTGGTGTGGCTCTCGGGTCTTGTCTTTGTTGATATTCCACAAGATCTACCTTTATCATTGTGTAATGATAGGTTTAGTGTCTCACTGTGAACTGTCTGTGGTCCATAGAAACAGAAACGTGTTGATGACGAACTGATGTTTTTCTTGTTATTTAGACTCAACTGGGAGATGAACAGTATGTATTTACTCGTTTAAACTACCTGCTGGATCGTATGGCCTCGTCTGATACGCTCACTCACGCAGTTGTTGAACCATCCACACTTATGCCATCGTCTGGCGTTATTCAGCAGAGTTCAGCGGTACACACTTCTGGAGCAGGCTCAATAAATGTCGCCGAAGCGGGAGTCTTCGCCAGTGCCAGTCTTGTCTCGTTTCGCAATCGGAAGGAGGTCGAGCTCAACGAAGTGTGCGCGACGATGCTGGCGAAGATTCCAAAAGTCTGGACCAAGGTTAGTGTATTTTTTTTTTTCATCTCTTAAATGGTAAAAAGTTAACAGAAATACAGAGTTTTGTAGTTCATAATACCACTCAGACTTTTCTTTTGATAGTACCCAGGTTGTTAAAAGCCTTTGTAATATCATTACCTTCTTGTCGTTTACCTTTTTTTTTTGTTGCTCGCTGCATTTTTTTATCATTATTCCTGTCATAACATTTTGCCCTCAATTATTTTTAGGGATTGTTTAGATTTAAAAAGAAAAATAACGTTTGTTCAGTTGTGTATCAGCTTTGTCTTGGTCGATCGCAAGAAATAAACCTTTTTGTTTGTATTTTCAGGAAAGTGTTTACGAACGTATGAAGAAGACAGGCGGGCCGAATCCATTTAATCTCTTCGTGATAGCTGAAATGGAGTGTATGCACAGATTACTGGCATGCGTTCGTGAAACGTTACTGGTAAATGAATTTGTCTAATAACACCTTGCGTGGTATATTTTCTGGAAGAGAGAGGGGGCTTTTGTCGGAAGCAGGCCTCTAGCCAGGAATTGATAAGTGGCCATCCAAAATGTGCTATAGGACCTGCTCAAATGAGCAATTTATAAGGCAA